GATGCTTCTTTCATAAAACATTTCAAGTACTTTTGAAACAAAAAAATATTTTATGTAAAAACACTTTTAACCTTTTTAAAAACACGAACCCTTAGATTCTACCTGCCTCTTTCATGTCCTTCCCTTCAAACCGGACAAGTATGACTTTTCACCACCGCAAAGGCCAGATGACATGCTAATTATTGCATTAGAGATAGTGGTGGAAATAATTTTGTCAGTGTTTGAAATTGACTGTAGGCTATCGATTTTAAAAGAGGCAATATGTTTGACAAAAGAAGCTTCCAATTTGTTAGGACGGAGACATTGAAAAAAACTGCAAGACCAGCGTAAAGCATCTGCCACACAAAATATATGTTTACCAAGTCTAAATCAATTTATGTGTAAAATTGCACATTAAATCTTTTCATGTGCTAGAATTTGATGTGCTAAAAAAATTTTAAAAGTAAAAATTCAATCAATTTTTTTCTTCCAGCATGTAAATGGGACAAATTTATGTTTTCAATTAGGAAATTACCATAACATATACTAGCCTTTTAAAATATCATTTAAGACAAATATCGCGCAAGTTGTCACATCCCAGGTCCTGGACGGATCACTTCCCAGGCCCGCTCCACCACCGTAGCACGATATTGTCCACTTTGGGCTTACCATTCCCTCACGGTTTTGTTTTTGAGAACTCACGAGCAACTTCCTAATGGGTCACCCATCATAGGATTGCTCTAGCCCCCTTCTCGCTTAACTTCGGAGTTCCTACGGAACCCAAAGCCAGTGAGCTCCCAAAAGGCCTCGTGCTAGGTAGAGATGGAAATATACATGTAAGAATCACTCCCCTGGGCGATGTGGGATGTCACAATCCACCCCCCTTAGGGGCTTGACGTCTTCGTCGGCACACCACAGCCAGGGTTAGGCTCTGATACCAAATTGCCACTTCCTGGGCCCGCTCCACCACCGTAGCACGATATTGTCCGCTTTGGGCTTACCATTCCTTCACGGTTTTGTTTTTGGGAACTCACGAGCAACTTCCCAGTGGGTCACCCATCATGGGATTGCTCTAGCCCCCTTCTCGTTTAACTTCGGAGTTCCTACGGAACCCAAAACCAGTGAGCTCCCAAAATGCCTTGTGCTAGGTAGAGATGGGAAAATAGCCTGAAAATCATATCCAACCGAGGGCTAGACCAAAGGGCTAGTGGGCCCCACGTGACAAAAAATGGCCAAAGGGCCAACTAGCTGGCCCAACCCAGCCAGCCGGCCAACCCAGGGCCAGGCCACAAATTCAAAACCAACGACTAGTTGACGTCAATTACTGTTGGATTTGATTTTTATTTTTTATTTTTTGTAGGCCAAAATTAAAAAAAAATCTCATTTTTTCCTATAAATACCTAAAGTCATTCCTACACCATTTGTCACATTATTTTCACCATTTCATACTATCTCACTTCATTCTATTTCAATTCTTCACATTATATGTTCTTAATTCTTCCAATAATCTTTCCTTCAATTTTTTCTATAATTTTCAAATGGCCTCATCTACAATGAGGGGTAGGGCTTCAAATGACCTCATCTGCAATGAAAGGAAGGGCTTGGACCCGAAAAGAAGATGAAGCTCTTTGCAGGGCTTATAGATAGGTCTTGGAAGATAGTGTGAAGGGGAGTTCTCAAACAAGTGAAGGTGTTTGGACTCGTGCGTCCAAAAAATACTATGAGTTCTACGAAGGCATCACTCCACTGAATACCCGAAACCACGAGAGTTGTTCTTCAAGATGGAAGAAACATCTTCATCCAAGTTTGAACAAATGGCATCAAGCACTATTAGCAACCCCAAGTAGACATGAAAACGGCGCCAATTACTATAACGAAGTAAGTGTTTTCATAATTTATTTTAAATATTTAATTATATTACATTTAATTTCATAAATTAATTTCCTTTAATTTTTGTAAATATATGTTGTAGGCACGCCAAACGGAGGAAATGTATATGGAGGGCAACTCGAAACCCTTTCAGCATCACGGTTGTTGGGAAATTTGTAAAGGGTGGGTGTTATTTGAAGATCCACTTCAACATAGAGTAGGTCCTATGCCGGTGTTCGGAACTGCATCCTCAACAGTAGATGGGGATGAAGATGTATCTCCTACCATTCAAGAAACAAGGGTAGAAAACCCGTCTTCGGGTGAAGGTTCCATACCTAGGGCTATGGACGAAACAAGGCCCGAAGGTTGAAGGAAAAGGGCAAGGCAAGGGATGATTATGCCGCTCAACAGGAAGTGGCGGCCTCATTGCAATTAATGGCGGAGCAAAATGCCTTTGCCGCGAAAAAAAGGAACCTTAGGCACGAAGAACGGGCAAAACAAATTCAAGAAGAGATGGATGATAGGAACATGCAAAAAAATACTTCAGATTACACTCCAATGAGTAAGGTCTATTTTGATAGGAAAAAAAAAAGAAGGAAATTATGGCCCAATGGCAGTTGTTTTCATCCGACTATAATCCTACAATGGCGGATGATGAAGATGATAATGATTATAGACTTTAAATTTAAGTTGTTGTAGTTTTTAAATTTAAGTTGTATTTTTTTTTAAATTTTAGTTGTAGTTTTTAAATTTAAGTTGTATATTTTTTTTAATTTTAGTTGTAATTTTTAAATTTAAGTTGTATTTTTAAAATTTTAGTTGTAGTTTTTAAATTTAAGTTTTTGTAGTCTTTAAATTTAAATAATAAATTATGTTTGGCCCTTTGGTCCTTGGTTGGTGGCATGTGGCCCTCTGGCCCCTTGGTTGGAGATGGTAAGGAATATGGTCTAGCCTTGTTTATTAAAATATTAATTTCTTGGAGGGCTATAGGGCTAAAATGAGTCATTTGGCCCTCCTTCGGTTGGAGATGGCCTAAGGTTCCTAAAGTTCTAATGGTTTGCGTGTTCCTAATTCAACACTTGCACGAAGGACCATCCCGATTACAAACTCTCTTGGAAAGTGAATGGGATTAATCTCTTTTAGATCCTACATGATCTCAAATGCAATCTTGGTCTTAACATGGTCATCTTAGCGATGAAGAATACTTGTGTTTATACCATGCTTTACCAATCCTGAAACTACAGAGCATCATCAATTTCATATCTTCAGGGACCTATTGAAGCGTTCATGCTGAGGTATTCCAACCGAAGCACATGAGTTCAGCTCCTATCAAGAGGCCGATCACAGCACGACACGTGTTAATGTCAGCATAAATCTCCTAAAGTCCCACATCAACCATAGATGAAAGCGAGCAACTCTTCTCAACTATAAAATGAGACAATTCTCCTACAATTAGTCCTACTGAAACTTGTCATTAGAACCCAATAATGATGATTATGCTTGAACCTATGTATTGTACAAACTCTTTACTATTAATGAGAACTCCTTTACCCTGTGAACATAGCCCAATGTAAGATGAAGCACCTACATTTTGTGTTGCTTCCCAATCTCTATCTCTTTACATATTATCCTCACTAGGTGACCGGAGCAACCATGTGAAGATAACAAACTTGACACTTTATGTATTCTGAAGTCTATCTGATTTTGTGCATCAACAACTTGCATTCACATCTTCAGAAAGAAAGAAAAAAAAAGACTATTTAATGAAAAAGAATACTTCCATGAAGCGAAGTGGGACAAAAAAGTCCCATGAGGCTTTCTGCCAACAAACCCTTACTTTTATCATGGATAATGAGATCATTGGCCTTTCTAGAAAAGCGCCTACAATTCCAACCTTCCCAAATCTCAGTTTCCACAAACCCACGAAAGGTTCGTTGGCTTGACCTGTAGCAAGCCCAACCCCAAATGTTGGACTTGAATTGTTCTTTAAGGCATCAACATTTCCAAAGTTATCCCAGCCCCAACCCCAAATGTTGAACTTGAATTGGTCTTTGAGGCATCAACATTTCCAAGTTATCCCTGCCCCAAACAATTAGGAAGTCGCACAACAAAGTTATCACTATTTCGATTCCAACTTAGGACGGAGACAAAACTCTCACGGATGGAAAAATACGTATTTTTTGATTTAGCGAACACATGGGGGTCGATTGAACTGTTCTTATGGACAATGACACACAATTGCCAATAGCTGATGCAGCAATGGAGCAATGACACAGACAATCAAGCAAAAAGACAAAACCTATAGCTAACATCAATCCCCAAGAAGCCCTCTCATTTGAACTCTCACTTTTCTGTTTCTATTGTGATAATTACTTTCTCAACACCATACCGAATAACTTGAGAAAAACAAAATACTAGAAACCAAATAACGACTAAAAGGTTCAATAATATTTACTAAGAGAAAATAAAATAGAAAGAGGACAAATGCATACCATCCATAGTGATTTTTTGCCAACTCTTTGACACCTCCCAATTTAACATCAATTTCAGTGTTAATATTATAAATTATTGAGTAAAAAACATGAGACGGCAGAGTACTCATGAAGAGTCACACTTTTAAAAGAGGGATGAGGATTCCATCCAAATTCAAATGGTGAAGATCTTAAGGATCATCACTTCCTAGTTATTCATCGTATATCGTGCGATTAGTTTTCATCAGGTACTATTTATATTTAATTTTAAATAATAAAATTCAAATGATTTATAACCACACAATATACAATGAACGGCTAGGATATGAAGATCCCTAGGATCCACATCATTTGGATCAGGATGGGATCCTCATCCTTAAAAGAGTCCTATAAAAACATTTCTCATATATTTAAATAGGGGTGTGCTATCCACACACCCCTTTTTACTTCTTACACACCTTTTGTTAATTTATGTCTGTTGATCTTCTTCAATTCATTCGATCCGACGGTCGAAAATTAGAAGAGTATGAAAGGTAAAAAATGGTGTGTAGATATCATACCCCTTTAAATATTGTTGCTAAATTTTAAAATTTAAATTTATTTTCATTTTACCAATAAGTAAATAATAATTAAAAAAAAAAAAAAAAAAAAGGGTTAATGCTAGAGTGACAGGGCCCTGAAGCAGCAAATTACACCATGGCGTCGCCCTCAAGGGCTTTAACATTGAAATGCTCTCCTTGTATCGCCTTCTCCACCAAAACCCTTATGGACTCCAAACCCACAACTCTTCACAGACCCTTTTCATGTTCAATTTCTGGGTCACCCCCACGAGAAGCTCGTACAAGCGGCGTTCATGAAGGTGCTATCACATTGCAGGAATGGCAGGGTTGGGGCACCGCGTCTCCAGTTCCCGCCATGGTTACCAAAATTGTTGAGGATTTGAAGGCTTTGGAGAAAGATATTGATACCCAGATGAGCTTTGGTGGTAGTCGTGGCAAACTTCAGGTATATCATATGACATTTGATCAAATTATTATGCCTTATGCCTTCTGTATGAATATTTGGAGTAAATTTTGTTTCAATATGTATTTACATTTTGTGTGATCTATTTACCATGGAGGTTTATCAGCATCAATTAGAAACACTGTAATATTATGAGCTTAGGTTATTGGGTGATTAGGGTGTTTGATGTAACAAATATTTACTTGGGTAGACTTATATTCTATGACGTGTAGCTCAGATGAAGATTTTCTGTGTTCTTTTCGGATTGTGCTATTGGATTGGTTGACAAATTGGCTTTAAAGTAGGTTGCTGATAACTTGATACCTTACTTTTCAGGGAGATTTCAAAGTGCAAGAGGATAAAAAACACCGAAAAACATATGAGGCTTTAGGTGATTCTGAACAAAAGCTCCAATTCTTTTCAGCTCGACAAATAGCATGTCGTTTGCTCGGAAGTAGGGGCTACCTTTGTCAAAAGGTATTTGGTTATTTTGTTAAAACAATTTTGCACTTTCATCAGGTTTACCTTCTTCCTCTTGGTGAGGTAATATTGAAGCATGTGCATCCTAGAAGAGACCAATATGCCCTTTTACTGCTTAATATCTTTATATCATGTTCATTGTCGCTTAGAAGACTTATTATCACTATGCAGTGCTGGCTTCCCTCTGAAGAAGATTGTATGTGTTCTAGAGTCACTCAATGCACTCTATGGAATAGAATGCGGTTTTGGTTATATATGCATCCCAAGGTTTTCTACTGCTCATTATGAATCAGTTTGATACTTTATTACAGTTTTCAAAACATCATTTAAATTTGCAGTCATCAATGTTGCAGGACTTCTTGCGGCAGAACAACACTGGGAAGTTGTTATGGCATGTATTTGGCACTGAGGCTGCAACTTTGTGCCTCTTTGGCATTTCTGAACATGAAGAAATAATGTGGAATGCATTGAAGCTTGCAGGTTTATTTGATTTTCTTCCCTCTTCAAAGAAGTTCAAAACTGATGCTGCCTATAAATGTCAAGTTGACCATCCTAATGTGATTAATGCATTGTTACTTTAAATTATTAAAGTATTCTTTATGATACTCTTTCCCTGTTGTTACGAAAACCTACTTCGGTTCCCGAGTGTGTGTTGACTGCAATAAAAGGGGTGCTTTATGTTCTTGTTGTTTGTAACCTTTGGCTTTTGCAGTAGATTCTGTAACTGCGTGTTGAAACAAATTACTGGTATTAGTACCCAGCTATTTTGATAAATTTAAGTTGCCAGCATTATTTTGAGCAGTTCGATTTGGCAGTTTTGTATACGTTCCCTAGTTGATTTTATGGATATTAAACCTTTTGAATCATTAACATCATTTTGGGATTTACATTAAATACAGGAAAAAGCAATACTTGGTGCCTGTATCCCAACAAAAATGGAGTGTTAAAATCAGTTGAGGATGTCTTTGGCCAAGAACCATCACCATATCTGGAAGGAACAGATACTAAGGTATTATGTTTTAGAGCAATGTTGGGAGGGCTTCTGCAGAAAGTTTTTTTTTTTTTTTTTGGCTAAATAGTTATCTACTTAGTGATCTTTTTTAAGGCATTTTCTATTTTATTAAATTCATGTTTTTCCTACATTATTCATCTGACAGCATTTCCTGCTGAAAGCACCTATCAAGAGCTCTAGGAAGCACTAAAGGCCCAAACATGCTTTTATCAACTTCAGATAAACACTAAATAGTTCATTTTGGTTATCTGAAAGTGCACTTTTCATTTCCAATACACTCCCAAACACACCCTTGGTTCAGTTATAAATGTTGGTTGTCTCCTAGATACTGTGTTGATAGATTGCCACACTAGCAAGAATAATGTTTAGGCTTCATGTTTCTTTGTAAGAAATACGTTATAATTTCTTCAAGTTTACCATGGTGGTCAATTTTAGTTTGACTATGCGCAGACAGATGAAGATAGAACTCTGAATTTCATTTTGATTGATGGAACATGGAACAATTCAGTTGCAATATTCAGTCGGCTGAAGGTAAAGTTGTCAGGCATATCTTTGTTTCTATGTATTTTCTTACTTACATGTTTTGATTGTTGTCTACAAAATGCTTGATGTGGATTTCTTGTATTATTTCATATGGCATATATTTGACCATCAAACTTGGACCTCTTCCAATAAATCATGGGGTTATTTTTCAAATGAGTGAAAAACCTTTTTGACCCCCTTTTTATGAGATATTAATATTTTAGCCCTTTTTACTGTAAAAAGATCTAAATGCCCCTGCTGTACATACCACATGGTTTTTCTGCCGAGCTTTAGGGGCATTTTTTAGGAGATGAGTATGAGGCATAAAGGTCAGTTTTGGAGTCCAACTTGATGGGCGTTTTGGAGTATATAAGTTCGACTCCACAGCTGACCTTTGCGGGTTTGAGTCCATATTCAGATCTAAAAGTTTATGTTAAAAATATGTGACTTGGGCGACGAGAGAGTGGTGGTGGAAAGAGACGTGGTGTGGGCAACGAGAGAGTCACGGTTAGTTCGTTTGATGAGTTTCTTTGTTTTTTTTCTGGATTGATTGGATTGGCAACCTGTTTGCTCACCACTATTCCTCCACTAACTGCTGTACAGAGCTTGTGGGGGAGATGGATCTTTTAAGGTTCAAGAAGGTCGGTTTTAGTGTTGAACTGAGTTGGACATCGGTCGAACCTGAAGGGCAGTTTGGTAAAAAATGATGGTCAAATACTTGTAATAGTAGAACCTCACTTTCGACACCAAAACAGTTTTTCCCACATTAAAGTTGGTAATAGACTTTCCCAATAAGTTATTCTCTAAAAGCCTCTCTGCTTTCCATTAACAATAGGGTCAGCAGTTTGGACCTTTGGTGCCCATAACTATATCCGTATATTTTTGCTTTACTTCATTGCTTGTATAAAGCTATCAGATTGATTTAGGGATGACCTTTAACAATTTTAACAAAAGGAACTCTATACTCTTTTGGTAGTTTTTAACATGAGTATTTCTAGTGCAGGATCAAGGAGTGTCAGTTTGGGGAGATGGAGACTTTCCTTGTATTTCCCTGGCCACTGGTACTTCTGCGATGCACAAACTTCGGTAAGAACTAAGAAATAAGTTTTGCCGTTTTCTATGCAGGAGCGTTTGTTTTATCTTAGGTTTTATTTTTATTCTCTTTATTGTTGAGCACTTTCTTTTGCTCTTCTGCATTTCCAATTTCCAAATCACTTGTCATTTTTTTTTAAACTGGTTTTGTAACTGATTGTTTTGTGTTAAGGGCAGGCCCCAACCATCATGGGATCGTACCTGTACAGCAGGAGCTGCTATTGGCCTCCTCTCTGAGCTGCAACTTCTTCCAGAGTTCAGCTCCTTTGGATTAGATAAACAGGCTGAAGCTGTAGAGGATACTTTAGTTTTATTATTAGAAGCACTGACAAATAGGCGGCTTCGGATGGGCAGGTCCATCACTCGCAGAGTACGACACAATTTGCTAACAACCAACCAAGAAAGTTAATGGTTGACCTGTCGCCAAGAAGATTTTAGAATTCTGAGGTAATTTCACTGAATTCTTTGATTACTTATTTCTGAACTGCAGTGGATCGTATTCTGCTAGTTTACATGGTCTGTTGAATATCCTTACTTTCCTTGATTGTCTGATTTACACAATAGTGGATCTGCATGTCGCACATATCACATGGATGCAAACGCTCCATAGAATTTCAGTTGCTTACTGTTACGATGGACTGTCAGTGCTTGTTGCTTTTCTCCCTTCTGTTGATTGCATATTGTTCTCAATTGATTGTTTTCATGGTAACAATCATGTACAAAATGTTTACACTTGTTTTGTTTTTGTTTTTGAAGGTTTCCATTTATCTGTTCACATCTTATCAGAAACGAATTTTGGAAATCAGCAATAGAATGAGTAATATATGCACAAGGGCTCCGATTTCGACTGCTAAGCTGCATCAGTTTCTTACTTCTGAAATGATCATCCCCTCTAGTTTCTTACTAACGGTGAAGGAGGACTATCTATTTTTGGCACCTGACAGTCACTTTCACACTGAATGTATTTGATGTTGAACTGATCAAATTCAAAATGATTTTGTCGATTATTTTCGGAGTACGTTGATGAAACCTAAATGAAGCAGTAAACCCACTAGCACTAAGTTCCACTTTTTTCTTGTCCTCCATTATTTTGGATACCCTAGGGGTTAAAAGGTTTGATTGGTTGATTCAAGTCAAGCTTGGAAGCTGGCATGACAATATATTGCTCGAACGGAGCAAGCCATATCGTTGTGCCAAAGCATAAACCCTACCGAAAGAGAAACGATCAGCTCAGGTCGAACAATTTGGTGATCAAGTTTGGCTTAGATGTTATAATTTGAACCTCCGATGACTGAAAAAGCTCAAAGAAAGCTCGGACAGGCCGTGTTCAAGCTTGGCTCAAATGATTCTTTGAAACTCGAGCTCAAATTCGCCCAGGATTGTTTGTGGATTGAGATTTAATTCGGCTTGACCTAATGAAAAGTGAAAAATAAAAAAGCATACACTACTAGTAGTAGGACATTTCTTAACATTCACGTAAACTCTTGGAAGATTGGTCTTCAATCTTAAGGGAAAGCAATGACATTGTTTGACCTTAGTGAACCAATCTTTAACGAACGAGCTGAGCTTAAAATAATAGTTTTGACAAACTGAGTATTTCAAAGTTTATTATTAACATTTTTTTTTTTCAAATGAACATAATATTTTGTTTGACCTCGACTCACATTTTTTACGAACTGAACTTGAACTAGCTAAAAATAAAATTAAAACATCAGGACAATTTGTTTCCCCAATGTATTAAAACAGCTTTTGTCTAGGAAAAAAAAAAAACAGCCATTTAAACTAGTAACGTCTGAAACATCACCACCCACAGAAGTTGTTTATGTTGCCACTTTTACCCTCTCCAAATTTCATGCAGCATTTCGCTCTCCTCCCACCAATTCTCTCTCTCTCTCTCTCTCTCTCTTCCCTCAAACAGACAGACAGACCTAAAGAGAGAAAGAAAGAGAGGGAACCAAAACCATCAACCAAAAAAGAAAGGGGAGAAGGAGCTGAGCCTGAGACTGAGAGGCCAAAGGCAGAGATCGACGACAACGACTTGACATAGGTCATAGGTTCTTCGGTCTCTGAAATTATTATTTTTACAATGGCTTCGTTATCTCATCCCGTTTTCTTCCTCTTCTTCTTCCTTGTATTGGGTTTTGCCTCCTCCGCCACCTTCATCTCTTGTAATTCCCCTTTCATCTCTTCTCTTCTTTTATTTTTGTCCTTTTTATTTTGTTTCAATTTAATTTAATTTAATTTTCGTCGTGTGAATGTTACAGATGATATCTTACGGGCTGGTGGATCATCCACGGGGGGACGTGCCCTTCTTCAGGCCAAAAAAAGTAAGCAATTACCCTTCATTTCCTTACCTTCTCCTTTTAATTAATTTGTTCTTGGCCATCAATTCAATGTGCTGGAAATGTGTTACGGTTTACAATATATAATGTAGAAGCCTTCTCGACTGATTGCGTATTGGTTTTGAGTTGGATGTTCTAATTTGGTCATTTCGTTCAACGAACATCTTCATAACGAAAAATAAAAAAAAAAACATTCAATTTTCTATGTATTCATAGTATTATTTGTCTCTGAATCAAGATAACGAGTTCATAACCAAAATATACACAAGAATTGATCCCAAAACGGAAAGGAAATACAATTAGAGCAAAAAAAACTAAAATGTACATTTTGATTCGGCATCTCTAGCTAGCTTGTGGTATATATGTTTCATCTGCATTGTATAAGTTTCTTTTCTGGCTGGGTTATCTGCAGATTGTCCTGTGAATTTTGAGAACCAGAACTACACAATCATAACAAGCAAGTGCAAAGGACCAAACTACCCAGCAAAGAGCTGCTGTAATGCTTTGAAGGATTTTGCCTGTCCTTTTACAGAAGAAATCAATGACTTGAAAAATGATTGTGCTTCAACCATGTTCAGCTACATAAACATCTACGGGAAGTATCCTCCCGGCCTGTTTGCGTCTCAATGCCGCGAAGGGAAAGAAGGTCTCGCATGTCCCGCTGAGGCACCGAAATCTGATCAAAAGAGCAGCAGAGGTCACATATCAGCTACTCACTCCATCATGCTAGCACTATCTGCTGCCTTCCTTATATTATCCTTCCATATGTTCTGAGCTGGTGTAAGTGTGAAAAAACATCACCCCACCTTGTAACCACTCAATTATGTTTCCGCGGATAACTCCCACCAATTTGTATGCTTTGAACATGTATCCCAAATAGTATAATTTTATTATATACTCGGCAGTTTATCACTAAACCCACACACATTTCTGATATGAAACAAGTTCTTCTGCTCTAATAGTCAATAGTACATGAAAAACCCTAATTGTGATCTCTTGAGAGTTATCTCACATTATGAATGTAAAGCGTTGACTACAGTATGTAATACTTTCATGCAGATTCTTCAAGTTACCAAATGACATTTAAGTTGGATGCTTTAATTTTTTCATAGTATTAAAGCATACAATTCACGTCGAGATAGTGCATCCTTGCATCAAATTTATGTTTTAAGTGAAGAGTACTGAGCGTAACTTCGAAGGGTCAATCCAAAATTGTCGAACTCAACTAAAAAGGACCAGGGCTGGTTTCGGTTCGGTTTCCAAACTAAAAACCCCAAACCAAAAACCAAACAGAACCGTTCTAGAAGAAAAAATAAACCAAAATTGACTAAAATTTCGGTTGGTTTGACAATAGACCAAAATTGACCAAAAATTTCGGTCGGTTCGGTATTTTGGTTTTTGGAATATTCGCTTCGTTTTTATCGGTTTGGGTTAGGGTTTTTTCGGGTCCGGTTTAGATCTTTCGGTCTTTTTTAGACCTAAAAATGACTAGAGTCGGATCTCCGCCAGAGAGGAGGAGGTATACAAAATTGGGTGATTTGGGAATGCCATCCTTGAACTGAGAACGTCACTCGATGATCAAAGTGGAAACTAAATGCCTCTAAACTAAGTAGTTATTATGATAATTGAGGTTCTCTAAACAATTATATTTTAACAGCACGTTGATAAATTGGCCCATATGAAGAAGGGATAATCTCAACTTATCATGTTGGTAATATTAGGGAAAATTAGAATTCTCTGCATTTTTTTGATACTTTTTAGTTCTATTTTAAGATTTAACTAAGGCGCCTTAAACAATAGCTACATCAACATTTTTATATTTATTTAAATCACATGTCATTATTTTACTTTCTAAAATTAAAATGCTAATTATTGAATTCCAAATATGTCATTTTAGGCTGATATTTCTTTGTACGTGACCTTTTTTGTAGGAAGTGGTTTTTGATTTGTTGAATTTGAGAGCGTAGATTTTTTCTCCTGTGTTGAATTTTTTTTTTGATCTCCCATTTTTGAAATTTGAATGGACTTATCCATTTCAATTAGTGTTGTTTGCACAATTTTATCCTGTTATTGGGTGAGATACTTAAGAGCACATATCCGGTTTGTTTTGGGAAAAAATTCGTAAGAATATGGTGAAATTGTTCAAGTCCACTCCAGAAGTAGTTGAGGTAAACATGCAGATTTTGAGAAAAAAATGGCGGTGGACGAATTGACAAATCTTGGAGGACTTGCCCAAACAGAACAATGCAGATGCATTCTTCTTAGGGGCCAGATACGGTCGTTATCTTGAATTTTAATGAAGAGGTGCTTGTGTACATGGTTTGATTTAAAGACCTGCCGTCCCACCATTATTCATTTTCTTCATTTTTTTTTTCCCTTCTCTTTTTATGCTTTTAGTGAACAGTATAGTTTTTAGGGGCTTTCCGTTTTAAGTATGAAAAGTATAATATTGAACAACATAATGTTAGGATTATGCAGTGTTTTGATTGATGATTTTTTGGCAAGTACGGTGAGATGTGGTCAAACGTCGCCGAGTCATTCAATTCCAGTTGGTAGAAAGCATAGGAGTTAAGCGAGTTTGTATTTGAAGTACATAGTGATGATTTGGTGATGGTGGACTTGAAAAATTGGTATTGTTCATATCACTGGTAGATTAAAGATTTCTCTTGCTCACATACAGTTGTAGATTAAAGCAATTTTTGGTAATAAATCATTACGTTTTCACTTGGAGAGATGTGCACCTTGCGCACCAATTGTCGTCGAAAGTGCACCTTACGTACCAATTGATTTGTATCTTTTAAATTAGCATAACGTTAAAAGACCTACCAAATAAGGCATGGTTAAAACTCACATCATATAACATTTATCAGTCGTGTATGTACCAATAATAAAATATTATGTACCAAAAGTCTGGTACATTCTAAATTAATCTTATTCATGAATCATACGATCATTATGTGTCAAATTAACATGAATTAATGTACCGGTTAATTGGTAGTTTAATACCAAATGATCATTACTCGTCGAAATAACGTAAAAAGACATACCAAATAATTGGTACTTTTCAAACACACACGTTTCATCAGATGGGTACCTTTCTAAAATAAAAATTTTAAATACCAAACGTCTAGTACCTTCTAAGTCAATATTATTTCACGAACCAAATGATCAATATGTTTCAACATAACATTAATTAATGTACCAATTAGTTGGGAGTTTAATACCAAATAATCATTACTTGTCGAAATAACATAAAGACAAGCCAAACAATAGGTACGTCTCAAACGCACATTGTGTAACGTTTCATCATAAGGATACATTTCAAAAATAAAAACTTTACATACCAAATGTCTAGTACATTCTAAATTCATATTATTTCATGAACTCAACGATCAATATGTGTCAACATAAGATTCACTAATGTACCAAACTCTTGGTACATTCATATTATATAACAAACTCAACAATCAATATGTGTTAACATAAGATTCACTAATATACCAAACTCCTGGTACGTTCTAAATTCATATTATTTCATGAACTCAACGATCAATATGTGTCAACATAAGATTCACTAATGTACCAAACTCCTAGTACATTACAAAATTGTTATGAAAAGAAGGCATTTAAAACTTACAGTACGTTGAGTTCAAAAAAACAATTCATTCATGATTTGTAGTTGATCATAGGGGTGTTGAGTTCAGAAGTTTATCGTTGTCAACCATTTTAATAGCCTAGGTGAACAATAGTGAATTCTAATGTTAAAAAGTTGTTTTCCAAATCGACAAATTAAATGAGGAACTAGTGTACAATTGCAATTCAAATCTTTAAATTTACAAGATTAATATCTTTAAATTCAGATTCTTATTATCTTGAACAATCAGTATTGTTCTTAACTTAAAACTCTGAGACATCATTTAGCAAGAATTTAGGAACCTCCTCTTTTTGGGATACCGAAATCTGATTTGTTAAAAGCTATGGTAGGTCATGTAATTTAGGTACATCAAAATGGGTAAATTAAGATACACATGGCACCAAAATTGTAAAAGAATGGTTAATAATTATCTTACCAAAAGAAGCATAAAAGAAAAACCATTGGTACAACATTCGTGGAAGTGGAAAATGTCGAGTGCAATTTTTAAACATCCTTTTTTGGGTGGCTGCACGTCTTTGTTGAAGGATGTGGTATTCCTTGAAGAAAAGCTTTTAATTGTGACGGGAACATAAATGATATACCACTTGTTTTAATAGAAGTGGTGGAAATTTTTATTTTTTAAGTTATTAACATTTTAGCACACATATCCTACTATTTGTATAATGACACATGATGTACCATCCTGTGTACCGATCACACTGAAAAATCTCTCCTAAAATTTGTCATATACACTGTGTAAATATTATTTTTTATATTAAAAACATAATGCAAAGCCGATTGGATAGCGCAAGTGCACGCCTAGTCAAACTCCCAATCAGATGTAATAGCAAAGCAGAGCTGCAAAGGGAAGGATTGGTTTTCCTCTCCCTTGTTGGATTCACACAAAAAAGTTGTCAATTGCGGCAATGACCTCATGTCAAATTTTCAGAGAGAGGAACAGGTCAAAAGTTTACTTTCAACTACATTGATATTATCTCAAATTTATTAATTACTATCTCACACTCCGATAAATGTAAGATTTTATTATAAAAGGTTTCAGTATTTGTTGAAATGCAGTTAAGGTATTTAAACGAGACAGCCGATGTGGAATATTTCAACACCTCACGTTAAATTGCACACTCATACAAAGCTTAATAACAAGCAACCAACTAGTTGAAAAATCTTAGATTTTTGTATCATTTTATGTAAAAGTGACGCTAAATTTTAATGGTCCTCAAAACACGGGAATTGATAATACTATTTGTTGATATAGCCGCATCACATTCACATCCATACGTTGCATACACATCACAATCTCAAATATATGTGGTCCATATTATGTCATTGGCAAAGAACTTCCTCGCTTTCGGTGTGGTAGTGGCTTTGGTCGATATGTTGTCGTATTGAAAACTTTATGGTTAAAAGCATTACAAGTGTGACACATTGCCAAAACCTCAAATGGATCAAATTAGGATGGAAAACACCCTATAAGTTCATATACATAATCTTATGCTACATGATTTCATGAAAAATCAAAATCGCCATATCGCATCATTCTAATATCATATCATTAGTCAATCAGCCACTTAGTACTACAATCTAATGATAATTTTTTTTTAATTCGAATCTTGTGAATGACAAATTTTTTAATCAATATGTAACATTTTAGTTTTAAAACAGATGGAAAACAAATTTTTGGAATTACCCACCAAAATCAGAAAAATACAAAGCAAAAAATATTATATTAATTTTCACACGATTACAAAAATGATACATTTTTTTGGCCTTTAGGCAGATACATGAATACAGAAAGGCAGCCCTGAAATGTTACCCTTACAATTCCTCTATTTCTAGGAGGATGACTTACTTGGCATAGGTACAATGTCATCTTAGCGTCTCATGCCAATAATACTTCTTTTTACATGACGTTAAATTATTGACATAAAATACTACAATTGTGATGTACTTATACTATATAAGTTGGTCTCTTGACCAAAGAATCGAAATCCAATCGTGAAGTCGTTTCCTCGGGATGGAAGATGGATCAAATGAGGCAAAAATATTTAGATTATAATAGATAGAAGATAGAGGCCGCCAAATCTTATCTGTGAGCAGTAACCAGCGTTTCAATAAATCTCAGCCCATCGAACTTGGGTGCAAATTTCTCCGTCGAAGCCGATGATTTTTCTTGATTTCTCTTAACGCCAGCCTCCTACAAAATCAAACATAAACATATTTATCTCTTAATTACCATTTGTATAAATAAGAAGACGATGCTATTTGGACACACAAAGTCGCTTGCTGAAATTTCCTAAGATAGGTGGGTCCGGCACACAATTATAGGGTCCATTTTTATTAGAAAGGTCATCAATAAGTGTGTTCAAATAGTAGAAATTCATGAATAAATTAGTTGGGGTAAATTTCAAGGGTCAAAATCCCAGATTTCAGCCTTTTCTCTTTTTTTTTTTTTTTCTCAGCAACCAAACAGAGCAGAATCCTAGAAAAGTAGAAGCAGGGCAATTAAGCTGGATACTGAGAAGAAACAATGAACAGATTAAGAGGATACATGAATACAAATTAAGATTATTTAATTACCTGGTGAGAAAACCGCATGGTTGAATCAGACACAAAGCTTGAAGAGGAAGAAGTGGCGGAGAGAGCAGTGGCAGAAGCGGCAGCGACTGAGGCCGCTAGAAAGCCCGGCTTCTTCATCAGTGGAGAAGATGGGTATTAGCTGACTGGATACTTGGATGGTTGGATCTGGAGAGCCGAGAGTCGGGAGACTGACTGTTTGTCTGGTAGGAAAATGAATGCGAGAAAGTGAGGGAAACTTGTGTGGGCAGATGGAGGGGCTTTGACGGCAGGCAAATATATATTGCTGGTCGATGGTCATTTCGAACGTTTACGCGGCAACCGTACCCCCACAACTTGGTTGTAGAATACCAAATGTACCCTTTGCACACTTCTTTTTCAGATGTTCTCAATTGTCTAAAATACCCTTCTGCACCACTGGTGTACATCTATCTCCAACTTCAACAATACCCCAACTTTGCACGTACTAATGCTTTCTTTGGTTTTCGACAAGGAGGTCCTTATCGTTGGGATATGGTTATATTTGCCCATGTGGACTTCGCGTACTCCACAAAATTTGTGTCAAGTTGTAAAAAACAAATTATAATTTTTTTTTTTTTTAGAGCCACATTCTCCTTCTCTTCAACAAGCCAACAACAATCTTAGACTAACCAACCACATGTCTTTGATACCCCTTCTTCGACAAATCTTTCACCAACATCAATTGTGGTCTAGACGAGCACGCCGGTCTAGAGATTTTTGAGGTCCAGGACGATGCTAAAAAATGTGTCTTCACTTCATATAAAAAAAAAATTATTTGTTTTCACACGTAAGACATCAATAAAATTATATTTAGAAAAACGCTTTAAACTCAATAATTTAAAAACACGGAATAACTAATTTGTTTTGTATCAATAGAAGGAAACCAAAAAACTTTGGGCTTACAAGTAGATAGATTATGAGTTTTGTTTTCCATCTGAACTTTTAAAATGCTTTTGTATAAATCGTGAGGTATTTTTTCTTATTTACTAACCTCGTTAATATAAGACTAAAAATATAATAATATTTTCGATGTCTTTAAGGATATGTATAAGTAATGAATGAACACTTAATTAAACCTTTTGATGACACATAATATTATTTGCAAATTTGGTCTAAAAAATTAGTCTACGCCTTACTCTTTGTTGAATATTAGACTTGAATTGGAACGGATATTTAAAAATAGCAACTCACATAACTACTAGCTAGTAAATAAATTAACAACTAAACAAAAATTTGTAAAAAATTGAAAAAAATAAGCATGCATATAGCATTTCGAACTTAGGACCTCTCGTCAATTTTAAACAACAAAAATCATCGCTTATAATTAAACTTCTTGATCATTTTGCCAAATTTTATAAATTTATACTGTTATAAAAAAAATTGTAAAAATTGGAATGTAAATAAACACACATGGTGTTTTGAACCTAAGACCTCCTCATTAATTTTAAACAATAAAACCACTAGTTCTAGTTAAATTTCTTTGTCATTAAACTAAATTTTATAAATTTATACGCTTATAAAAACATATATAATATACCATCCTAATAATTTTGGTGCTCCTAATTTTTTTGGGCCCCAGACAATCGCCTGCCCGCACTAGACCTGGGCCGGGCCTAGCTCGAGTGCATGTACCTTAGCCTCCAGTCCTCCAAAAGCAAAGCAAGACGCACCACAAGGCTATTGTCGAGTCGCTAGAGGCACATAACTGCAACGGATTGCAATTTAAATATGATTAAATTTTCTTTTGAATGTACTGCAATTTGAATCGATTGCTCTATCTAATTTGAATATGTAATTTTTCCCTTTCTTTATCATTAACCTTACCTTCCAATTATCCACCAAACCAAGGGGAAAAAGAATCGAAGAAACCAAAAAGAAGAGATAGGATGGGGTTAGTTTTGTAAGAGAAGGAAAGTCGATCTAGAAAGGCAAGAATTATGGAGGGGTAATTTTGTAATGTGGCATATTAATTTTGTATGGTCCAGATTGTACCACGCAAGCGCCACTTGTTTCACAAGTTAATTTGAGGCCTATGTCTTTGGAATGGGAGGTGCGGAATGGCGTAGTGGGTTGAGACTCGAGAGTTTGGAAGTTCCTAGTGCAATTACCATTGTAGCCCCATGAGTCACTTTATTACCATACTTCATTGTCATTGTCATGCAACAGTCGACATCTGTAAGATACTTCTCGTAAAAACATGATACTACTATATCAATCTTCATTTAACCTGAGAGTTATCTAGTTAGGAATCTTTATCAAAAGAATAAAACTTTTTATATTTTTGGCCACTAGCCTGCATAATAAGTATATAGTCGAGTTTAATGTTTTTAAGGTATAATGTTAAAAGATGACTATATGTGTAACATGAGTAGATTGTAACAAACGAAGTGTTATGATTGCACCTAAAGTAGATTGCTGATTTTCAGTTATAATAGCCAGCAAGTTGGACTTGAGTTTTTGTGAATTTTCAATATTTTTTGCTAAAGTTGTCAACTGGGGCTCTTTTAACTAGCCTGTTGGAGATGCTCAAACTTATAATAATATTTTTTTTTTTAACAAACGATATTATCTACACGAAGGAGAATAAGTGGGTTTAGCCTACAATGAGTTAACAATAATGTGATTCAAATTCACCTTTGTGCGCGAATCGAATCTAAGACCTCTCACTACAACTGAAGAAGAATATCATTATACCGTAGTACTTAAGTGGTTATAGATAACTAGAAAAATTAGAGTCTTGGCGGCATGGAGACTAGAAAGATCACCATATCCACTAAACTTGGAGTCAAAATTCATTCATTATAATTTTGCCCTAATTAACTAAATACCGCACAAGGTTAAGAATGCCACGCCAAAAACAGACCCAATTCGAATGTTCATATATAGCACGCGCATTCTTTCTTTAAATGTTATATTGAAATGATGTATCTTAGCATTGTTGGTGTACTTTTTAGTCTGGACCCGACACATGTCATTAGTGGGGGATCTAGATAATACTATTTGGGGGTCAGTAAGAATGGAGCACAAAAGTTTTTGAACGGAATAACATGTAATTGGTATTTCATCAAGTCTTGGTAGGCATGCGGTCATGTAAAAAGTCATAATACACAACTGTCAACAGATGTCAACAGGTTTCGAGAGAGTATGTCGACTAATGTCAATAGTTTTTAAACGAGCTTGTTGATAAAAGCTAACACATGTCAAGTGGGCCTATCAACAGATACCCACAACTTATATTGAGGCATGAGACTAGCAGCTATTCTGCTTAGTGCCTACAGAAACAATTCGTCAAGCAGTTGGATTGACAACTTTCAAAGACAATACCTAGTTTTTCCATAGATAATTTCTGAGCTTTTTGGGGATTGTTTCAGTTGACCCAACTTCCCCAAGGTCGCCCCTGCATGTCAGTCTCTAAAGAAGAAATTCTTGGGTACGGAGCACATTACTCATCCTCATCCGCCCACGCTCACAAAGAGGAGAACCAGCTGTATTTGGTTGGAACCAGCACAGGGGTGTTTGGGGCCCCAACAATGCCGCCAGTTAAAACAGCACAGTATGCATCTTTTCTCGAACAGTCAAACCCTTTTTTGCGTTTGTTCTTGGTGATACCGACAGCAAATTTCAGTGGTGAAGCAATGATTAACTTGTCATTGTTTCGTTCTCCAAAAAAAACTTGTCACTGTTTCTCACTTTCGGCTGAGGTGGTGATAAGTGTACTTTTGGGAGGAGGCAGAGGACTGAAGGGTTCATGTCAATTCTGATGGAAACACTGTATTATCCAAATGAAGTGGTTGGTTTGGCTAAACTGAGTCGCCCCCTGCCGGGCAACTTGATGTTGAGCAAGCAGCACCTACTCTACTTGGAGAAAAGTAAGTGATGACTACGTTCCTCGTCACGAACAACGGTGATTCTTCGTTTTGTTAATGATTCTTCGTTGGAGCAATTTCACGAGAACTGTCATTCAAACTCTCTCAAAAGCAAGTCTAAGCGAGACTTTGTGTGAGTACGATTAACATTTTTCTTTTTGGAACATCATCTTTCTCCTTCTACAACTTCCCAATAGGCTTTTATATAAACTCATACATTTAATGGCATAATCCAATTGTATCATGAAATACAAGACCAACTAATTACGCATCCAAAGACACGAGACTCTTCCTTCATGTGAGGTTCAAGCCATCTTTGATGAACACGTTCCTCATCACTCCCCTACGAAGTATGAACAAATGCCGCTGGTAATCCTAAATTTATGAAATTGGAGGAAGCTACAAGCAGAAAGTTTTTCGTTTGAAAAGTAAAGCCTAAAACTGGTCATGAAGCACCACGAACGAGAGTTAGGTGCTCAAAGCTTAGATCAGCACATGGAAGAAATCAACCCACAAGGACGAACAAAACTTACCTCGACCCTTGACCTTCAACAGAGAGGCGACCCTTCTCCCATTGAGCTTCGAACAAACACATGCAATATTGTAAGAGAGTTTTAACGAAAAATCCGCGGTACTGTTTACTTTAACGAAAAACTATATTTTTACACTAAAAAGTCAATCTTGGTACTATTCACTTTACCCTTTATTTTGTCCTTATCATTAAAACTCAAAGTTTTCAAGCTTTTTTCATTAATTTTCTTATATTTTAATTGGGTGGAACCACCTACTTTTTGTAATCCAGAACACCGCGTAATAGTTTCTCTCACTAGTCTCTTAAAAGAGAAAACTGGAGAATAACATACTTAAGTTTCCACATAAGAAAGATGAGAATCAAGAAAAGTTTGACACAGAAAAATTTAAACCCTACAATACTATACATAATTTAGTTCATATGCCCTTCTGGACGGAATATGAGAGAAATCTTCATCAGACTCGCCGCAGAATGATTTTTCTAATGTGCAATTCGAGGCCCAAAACACACTTGAGGAGCATCAGTGGCTTACAGAGTCTGTGTGTGAAGGCATGTGCGTGTCGTTGTACAATAGAGCCCTAACAATTCTCCAAAAAAAACTTTTAGTACTAAAGAAACTATCATAATTAGTATACAGAGCAGCCAATAAAATACATCTCTAACAATGATACAACAAAAGTTTTTAAATCAAGATATAACAGCTATCCAAAATGCAACACTACCTATAAATGCTTCCAAAAAACAAAAGGCGGAGCTAAAAGCGGCCAACATTCCGAACAGCATTCCTACAGCCACCAATTGGTTCAGTTGCTATCCCAGTCACAAGTGTGTACAAGCCGCACAGGCAATGACCTTGCAAGGAAAATGAGCAGAAACAGTAAAACACTTGAGATCAGAAAGTAGACCTTCAACAGGAGAAATTTCTATTGTCCAAGTAAAAAATCTTCATGTTATATCTACTTGCTTTTATTTGATTTTTTTTTTTTTTTTTTGTAAGATAATTAATTGCTGCATCCCTTTTGTATCCCAAGTTCATATAATTGCAAAAATCTCATCGTACATGTCACTCGTGAAACCATCGACCAAATTGCCAAAAAAGAAAAACTTGGTAGTTTATAAGGAAAGCACAAGAAAGAAAGAACAAATTTCCATCAGAGGTTCAACAACAAAAGTTTCAACGAAGTGAACTCCACGTTTGAAAACTGTATTAGTTGCAAGAAAATTTCTAATCTGTTAAAGATGCACTATCCATTACGTGAAAAAAAAGGTCCTTGTCTTTTTACATCAAGTCTTAGACATCTACGTAACAAAAGAACAACTTAACTCGGCAACTCCACTCAGCAAACTATGATGGATGATCACTGCATAGGGTCAGCTATTAATCCTTTCTCACCATGATCAGTTCCATGCCAAAACACTACATATAGATGCATATTTTCAAACACCCGTCCAACACTTCAATTTTCTCCATGTACCTCAAGTTAATCTTGTTTGCCAGTAGTGATAAATGTATGAATGTTTACACTAAGGATTGACCATCCTACATATTACACATTTCATAACTTACAACTCCAATATTTTAACCAAACAGTAAAGTATTTGCTCGAAAGTATTTGCATTTGCATAGGCCTAAATTCAATATTATAAATCAATTCGAACGACTTAAAATCTGAATCTCTTACGCAATAGCTTTTTCATTCAAACAGAAAAAAAAAAAAAAAAAAACAAGGGCAAGTATGCATTACAAATTTACAAATGTAATTATACATGAAGCCAAATCAGGATTGCAGTAATGGAACTATATCTGAGTAATACCTTATGAGTCATGAAGATTTGATTGACTCGACAAACCCACTACTGAGAAGTCTTTCGACATACTTCCCGAGTATATCAACCTCCAAATTCACCTTTGACCCGATTTTCTTCAACGGAATCACCACTTTCTGCTGTGTATAAGCAACCAACATGAAATTAAAGCACTCTTCTTTATCAAACACATCCACCACATGTCAAACTAGTACCATCGACGGCTATAAACCCTTTCGGCACCACATACTTCAACACCTCCTTTGATGCCTTTACCTTTATCCACAGCGAATCCCCCTCGGGCTCCATTGACACTATCTCCCCTGTGCCATCCACATGACCCTGCACAAAGTGCCCGCCCATTCTGCTCGTGGGCTGCACCGCCCGCTCCAAATTCACAAGTGACCCCGCTTCGAGCTCGATCAGAGACGTCTTCCTAAGCGTCTCCGGCGACAGCCCGACTGTGAAATCGGACAATTGGGTATCGAATTCAGTCACCGTCAGGACACGTTCCATTGACTGCAATACTATCCCCGAGGTGAACGCCCTCCAGAACGGTTTTGGCGCCGATTTTCATGTCGAAACCGCCGTTTTGGGAGGTGCCAAGTTGCTTGATTTGGCCCATTTCCTCGACGATGCCGGTGAAAAGGCATCGGATTGTGTTGCGAGGAGGAGATTGGAGATGGATTTTGGGTTTTTGGGAGCTGAGGAAGAGGGTTTGAGTAGTGGGTGTGAAAAGGGGGTTGAAACTTCGGAGGGTTTTGGAGGATATAGAGTGGAACTTATTCATGATTGAGATTTGTCGAACACAGGGTTGAGGAGTTGTTGAGAGTGTCACTGCCATTCTGTTTGTTTCGGATTGCAACGCAAGTTGGGATCTTTTGTACCCTCGTTCGCTACATCTACCTATCTAATTGTTTTCGGATAGACTACTTACATCATCTCCAAAATGAGGTACTAAATTTAAACTTAAAATTTAAATTTAAGATTTATATAGCACTTTGACATTTTTTAAACTTTTATTTCCAATCGATATTTCAAATTTTAAACATAAAATAATAATTTATGTACTTTCTTTGCATTGGGAATAAAAAGAAACAAAAGGATAATGCTTTAAACTAATAAAAATTAATAAAAAACATTTAATAATTAATTAAAAAATCTGAAGGTGCTGTCAAATTTGGCAGCACAGGGAGAGATGTCAATCCATGTCATGCCACATCAGATTTGACTTTTTGGTTGGAAAACATTAATACTGTCTTTTATTACCGTTATTGCTGATTTGGATAATTTGACATCTCCTTTGGAGATGCTCTTAGACCATCTCTAAAGGAAATGTCAAATTACAATTTATAGTTGATATGGCAATCTGAAGCCTAATATCAATTTTGTACTTCTTCAACCGAATTATCAAATATTATTTTATTATTTAAATAGAGTTTTAAATGATTGTCAAATTTTATACTTCTCCTTTGGGCCAGATTGGCCTGATTTGATGTTTTGGCCCAATGGGGCCCTTGAGTCATTTGGCCTAGCCCTTGGTTGGAAACGGTTTTCATGTCATTTCGGGTTATTTTTAGCCCTATAGCCCTCTAGCTGAATCGTTTGGAGATGGCCTAACCAAGTGAGGGCCAGAATGCTTTTTTTAGCCCTCTGGACCTCCAACAAATTAATATTTTAATGAACAGTGCAAGGTCATATTTCTTACCATCTCCAACCGAGGGCCAAAGGGCCATAGGGCTCGTTTTAGCCATGTCACAAAAAACTCTCTCCAACCAAGGGTCATAGGCCCAAACATAATTTATTATCAAAATTTAAAAACTATAACAACTTAATCAGATATTGTTATATCATTGCCTATATTATCCAAAACTAATATTTTTCTTATTTAATCAATTGTTAATGCATAGCCCACTCAGTCCTTATAAATTAATATTAATGTCACATCTCAGCCCATGCCTCCACCATATCCCTAGCTTGACTCCATCATAGCACGATATTGTCCGCTTTGAGCCCTGACCATGCCCTCACGGTTTTGTTTCTGGGAACTCACATGAGAACCTTCCAGTGGGTCACCCATCCTGGGATTGCTCTCGCGCGAACTCGCTTAACTTCAAAGTTCCTACGGAACCCGAAGCCAGTGAGCTCCCAAAAGACCTCGTGCTAGGTAGAGATGGGAATATACATATAAGGCTTACAGGATCCATTCCCCTAGGCGATATGGGATGTAACAATCCACCCCTTTAGGGGCTCGACGTCTTTGTCGACACACTTCTGGTCAGGGATTGGCTCTGATACCAAATTGTCACATCCTAACCTGGGCCTTCACCACATCCCGGGCTCGACTTCACCGTAGCACAATATTGTCCATTTCGGGCCCCGACCACGCCCTCACGGTTTTGTTTTTGGGAACTCACACGAGAACTTCCCAATGTGTCACCCATCCTAGGATTGCTCTTACGTGAACTCCTTAACTTCGGAGTTCCTACGGAACCCGAAGTCAGTGAGCTCCCAAAATGTCTCGTGCTAGGTAGAGATAGGAATATACATATAAAGCTTACATGATCCACTCCTCTAGACGATGTGGATGTAACAATACGTCCCCCTTAAGTGCCCGATGTCCTCGTCGGCACACTTCTGGCCAGGGATTGGCTTTGATACCCAAATTGTCACATCCTAAGCGTGGGCCCCCACCACATCCCGGGCTTGACTCCACCGTAGCACGATATTGTCCGCTTTGGACCTCGACCACGCTCTCACGGTTTTGTTTTTGGGAATTCATACGAGAACTTCCTAGTGGGTCATCCATTGTAGGATTGCTCTCGTGTGAACTCGCTTAACTTTAGAGTTCCTACGGAACCTAAAGCCAGTGAGCTCCCAAAAGGCCTTGTGTTAGGTAGAGATGAGAATATACATATAAGGCTTACAGGATCCTACTCCCCTGGACAATGTGGGATGTAACAATTAATCACTTCACAGTGTTCATAACCAATTACTTATTACTGTAATGGAGAATATTGGAGACCAACTCAATGGATGGTCAAAGTACACATGCATGCGCAGTTGATGTGGTGATGTAAAAAAAGGGCACAGGTGGTACCAATCAATCTTTACTCTTATCATTTGTCCCGCATCGACTGTGTGAGAGATTTTGGCAAGCAAACATGCTTATAAAAGGAACACCTTAACATTGAACTAATCATCTTTCTGGGCCTATAATTAAATATATGTTTTTTTAATTTTGGCCCCTAAAAAAAAACTATAAAAAAAAATTAAAAAAATCACGCCTAGCTAACGTCAGCTAGTTACCATTGGTTTTCAATTTCTGGCTCGGCCCAAGGCCGGTTAGTTGGCCCTTTGGCCATTTTTTGTCCAGTGGGCCCACAAGCTCTTTGGCCTGGCTCTCGGTTGGAGACGGCTTTCAGGGCTATTTTCGGCCTTCTGGCCCTTTGGACCCTTCAATTAGAGATTGCATAAGTGGCTCAAAACTAGTTAACTTCAATATCATAAATCAATTAGAACTTCAATTCAATTCCACAAATTGATATCCACTTAAAATTTAAACTAAATACGCAAGTTTAATCATGCAAAGTGTGAATTAAAAAAAAAAAACAAGAAAATACCAGAGCATGTACGAAGAAAAAAGAAAAAAAAAAAGAGCAACACTTCATATCCAAATACAAACAAACGCCGAACTCAAGTCTTGTTGTTCAAACTCAATTTGCATTTCTATTAAATAAGAGAAAATAGTTAGTTGTATATCATAGATTCACAACTATTATTATAATCCTTTAAAAGAAAGTACACTGAGGACCTACAAATTGCCAAATCGAATCAAGTTTAGTGCTACATGAAACCCCATTGCCAAAAACTTCATCACTATCAACTATACCTATAAATGAAATTGTACCAAATATTATAAAGGTTGTTGGTTGTTAGACTTGAGTGTAATACGTGCATTAGTTCATTTGAGTTATAATTGGGTTCAAGTGGGTTGATAAATCGGGTTGGGTATGGGCGGGCAAATGAGCAGTGTAAGATCTCACATCGCCCAGCGGAGAGGAACCTCTATGTCTTATATGTATATTCCCATCTCTACCTAGCACGAGGCTTTTTAAGAGCTCACTGGCTTCGGGTTTCGTAGGAACTCCGAAGTTAAGCGAGTTCGTGCGAGAGCATTTCCAGGATGGGTGAATCACTGGGAAGTTCTCGTGTGAGTTCCCAAAAATAAAACCGTGAGGGCATGGTCAAAGGACCAAAGCGGACAATATCATGCCACAGTGGTGTCGAGCCCGGGATGTGGTGAGATCCCACATCGTTCTTGTGTGAGTTCCTAAAAACAAAACCTTGAGGGCGTTGTTAGGGACTAAAGCGGACAATATCGTGCTACAGTGGTATCGAGCCTGGGATGTAGTGAGATCCCACATCGCCCAAGGGAGTGGTTCCTGTAAGCCTTATATGTATATTCTCATTTCTATCTAGCACGAGGCCTTTTGGGAGCTCACTGGCTTCGGGTTCCGTAGGAACTCCAAAGTTAAGCGCGTTCGCACGAGAGCAATCCCAGGATGGGTGACCCACTGAGAAGTTCTCGTTTGAGTTCCTAGAAACAAAACCGTGAGGGCGTGATCGGGGCCCAAAGCAGACAATATCGTGCTACGGTGGAGTTGAGCTCGAGATGTGGTAGGGGCCCGGGCCGGGATGTGACAATTTGGCATCAAAGCCAATTCCTGGCCAGAAGTGTGCCGACGAGGACGTCAGGTCCACTGAGGGGGGTGGATTGTAAGATCCCACATCGCCCAGAGGAGTAGATCTTGTAAGCCTTATATGTATATTCTCCGTTTCTACCTAACATAAGGCCTTTTGGGAGCTCACTGGCTTCGAGTTCCAGTAGGAACTCCAAAGTTAAGCGAGTTTGCACAAGAGTAATCCCAGAATGGGTGACCCACTGGGAAGTTCTCGTGTGAGTTCCCAGAAACAAAACCATGAGGGCGTGATCGAGGCCCAAAGCGGACAATATCATGCTACAGTGGAGTCGAACCCCGGATGTGGTGAGGGCTCAGGTGGGGATGTGACAAGCAACCTAAACCAACCCAATAAATGCCTCGGTCGAAGTTGTGCTGGGTTAGTGGGTTATAAAAAATAAAAAAAAACCCCCTTGTTTAGGTTTAAATTCGGGTTGGACATGAAAGAGTTTGAGTTGACCCAACCTAAATTACACCCCTAGTTATGACTGTATAATCCAGTGTATAAAAATTAATTAGTTTTTAATTAGTCTTCTTTTTGTTAAAAGAATATTGTTTTGTTTTTACAAAACGCTAAGTTAAATGGTAAGTTGTTAGAAGAGGAAAATCAGTGAAAAATTAAATCCGAAGTAGAATAGATATGCATAATTGCTTTCTGTCATTGTAGTAAAGTACCATTTTCAAAAGATTGTTTTTTAAGTATTACATTTTCATTATTTTTTTTGTTGAAATCTACAATCTTCGAAAAAGGATACCAAGAAGGAAGAGGCTACCAATTAGACCAACTCCAATCCTTTTCCTTAATCAATGACGAAAACAATTTTAGACTTTTGGTTTTAGACCATGGCTATAATTTTAGACCTTGGTCACAAAATTGTTAAATTTAATTTCAACAAGAAAAAGAGAATAAAGAGATACTATTGGGATAATATTGCGTGCATAACACCGTTTTACAGACATCTTTTGGAATAATATTGTAAGAGCAAGAAATACACCTTGTCTTTGTTTGTTATATGAGTGACGGGATGTTACGATTGAAGATCATATGAGTAACGGATATTATGATTGAGGATGTGAAGAAAGAAAGAAATGAACTACATGAAAAATCAACTTTCTTAAAAGATGGACCCAGTTACTAGTGATGTATCATTCATTTATATAATTTAGTAATTTTCCTAATAATAATTCAAGATCGTAATTGTATTAGAATCTTATTTGAAAATTTTTGTTTAAAAAATTAGACTATACCTGCCATAACAACTTAGTCAGCTTTGGAGGCTTCGTCGTTTCGTAAACCAAAACAAAAAATGGTACAACAAATTTTCACATGTCAACTTGCTTATGCTAGTCAAACTAAGCTCACTTGACTATTTTTTTTTAATTTAAATTATTAGGTAAGCCCTCTAGGCTTGAAATGATAATTGATTTTTGACACATTTATTTTCTTTTTTATACATTTCTAAATTGAATAAATAAATAGAAAATCAAATATATAAAGTTTTTTTTTAACAAAAATAAAAAATGAAAGTTGTATAAAGAAAATATGGTGAGTACAAATCGTTTCGCTTCAAAATTAGTTGTCAAATGCACATGGATAGAGCTCCTTGTAATTAAAAAAAAAAAAAAGATTTTGCACTCTATCTCTAATGCACATTCTTGTCAATTTACTTAAATAAATAATATTTTAATATAATAATATATTGTTATTTAGTATTACAGTCCATTATTATTTATTTTTATTTGTACGTGAGAGGTCGATCCTCGTCAAAACGAATTTGAATTACATTATTGCTAGTTTATTGTGCAGCTTAGCTCACTCACTTATCCCTTAGTATAGATACAGAACAAATATTATTTATATATAACGATATATTTACACTAAAGATAAACAAATAGAATTAAAAAAAAAAACAATAATTAAGCCTTTGTGGCCGATCATGTTTTTTTTAAAATACTAAATTTTAACACAAAAATATATGAAAACCCCACCCTCCCACCTTCCCCCTGCCAGCTTAACATTCAGTTGATCAAAAGACCCTGCCATTTCGACCAAAAAACCAAAACGAAAATAAACCTGCCATCTTCTAGCTCTCTCTCATCAGCTCTCAGGTAACGATTTGGTTTGAAATTTTGATTTTTTTCTCGTAATTTGCTGCTTGATGGTTTGTTTAAATTTTCAATCTTTTACAAGAAGATGAAGGCATTTTAGTATGACTGCAACTGTTTGGGGTTTTGTTTGAATTTCTACCAAACCTTTATAAGTTTATTTTCTTGAATTTGATTCAGCAGCTCTGCAAATTCAACACCCAGAAACTCATAGCTGAGAGAGAATTAGAAACCCACTTCACACTTAACAGCTAGAGAGAGAGAGAGAGAGAGAGAGAGAGTCTCTGAGGCTGCAATTGCAATGGAGGCTGTGTAAGTTTTGGATTTTGAATCAAATATTTGTTCTTGTATATGAACTTTTGTGAATTAGAAAGAAAGAAAGGAAATTGATTGGAAATTGATTGTTGTTGAAAAACATACAAATAATTACAGAGTTGCTTCAGCTCCAGGGAAGGTGTTGTTGACTGGAGGTTACCTAATTCTGGAGAGACCCAATGCAGGCCTTGTACTCAGCACCAACGCCCGCTTCTTCGCCATAGTCAAACCACTTTACCAGCCTCTCAAGCCTGATAGCTGGGCCTCGGTGTGTCTTCATCATTCTATCTCTCTCTCTCTCTCTCTCTCACTCTCTCTCTTTTTGAGTCTGATTGATTAAAATGTGTATCTGTTTTGTGTCTTTCAGGGTTGTACAGATGTGAAATTGACGTCTCCTCAACTCGCCAGAGAAAGCGTCTACAAACTCTCCCTAAAAAATTTATCACTTGAATATGTTTCTTCAGGGTGAGTTGTCATTTTCGATATAAGCTTCTTGAATAATGATATATTTTTTAACAATGCTACAAATCATCAGTTTATATCATCATCTTCGTTGTCATGTAACCACTTATAAGGCTATGTCGGGAAAGTTTCCCTGCTTCAAACAAAAGTTTCCTGCTTCAAACATGCTTAATTTTAGTTCACATAAACACAATTTCAGTGACTCGAGGAACCCTTTTGTGGAACAAGCAGTCCAATACTGTGTAGCTGCTGCCCGTGCAACAGTTGACAAGAAGAACAAGGATTCATTAGAAAAACTACTATTGCATGGTAATGTTTCATTCTCCATATGTTTCCCCGGCATTTAAAATGCTAAACAAACTCGACAGCATTGAAAATTCTAATGTTTCATCTGGGTCTGTTATGCAGGTCTTGATATCACGATCTTAGGTAGCAATGACTTTTATTCTTATCGAAATCAGGTTTGTTACCCTTATTAGTTTCTGTAGTTTTGTTTTTTAATTTAGTTGAGTCATCCGTTGTTTCTAATCTTCTTTTAATTATTGATGGTATCATGTAATTCTAACCAAAAGCCCACATATATTCGAATAAAAAAGTATAAAAATTACAGCATTCACGTTCCAATAACCAGTTGCAGCTGAAACTTCTAGGTTTCTTATTTTATTAATTGCAATCCAAATTCCTAATTCAAGATGTTTCTGAGTTGTGCCCTTGTAGATTGAAGCCCGTGGTCTACCTTTGACTCCAGACGCATTGGCTGCACTACCTCCTTTTGCATCGATTACCTTCAATGATGAGGGATCAAATGTAGAAAACTGTAAACCTGAAGTTGCAAAAACTGGATTGGGTTCGTCTGCGGCAATGACAACCGCTGTGGTTGCTGCGTTGCTTCATTACCTCGGAGTTGTTAATCTTCCATCTGTGCTTAAAGATCATCAACATGAAAAGCACACTGCAGATCTTGATTTGGTGCATGTGATAGCTCAGACTGCTCACTGTATTGCACAGGGAAAAGTGGGCAGTGGGTTTGATGTTAGTTCTGCAGTTTATGGAAGTCAACGTTATGTCCGCTTTTCACCAGAAGTTATTTCTTCTGCTCAGGTCTCTCTCTCTCTCTCTCTCTCTCTCTCTCTCTCTCTCTCTCTCTCTCTCTATGCGTTAGAGCATGCAATGTGGATCAAACAAGTGCACCTAGCTCCTATTTGTCTAAATGTCAAAATGGAGTTTGGTATATTTTAGTCACATGCAAATCAGAGCTTATGAAATTATTACAGGTTATCTGTAGTTAATTTTTACTCTCCCAATATTGGTCACTCTAAATAAAATTAACATTGGTTACCAATAGCCCGATTCTGATTTTTTGTCCTTTTATTACTTTGGCATTAAGATTGCCATGTGGTCTCATTAAGATTGCCATGTGGTCTCATTAAATTACCTTTCACACATTGATTTTGTTGTCACAACCGGATATACCAACATCCACTGTTTTCCATTCAGGATATGCTGTAAAATCGAAAACACCGTTTTCATTTGGTGTCATCCATGGAGATGGGATCCCTGATTGTGTTGTCGTGTGGCTGATTATCTTATTTAATTTTAATCTAATATTCTTTTTGCTCTTTGTATGGCCACATAACAGATACTGTTAGAGAACACCTTCAATTTGTAAGTTCATTTTTTTATGCTTTCAGGTTGCAGTGACGGGAACACCACTAGAAGAAGTCGTTCCTCAAATCCTAAACGGAAAATGGGACCATGATAGGACTAAGTTCTCCTTGCCACCATTGATGACTCTTGTAAGCATGTCAAGCTCCATTTTGTAGCTTGCTTACATTTGTAAATCATTCATGCAAAAGAGTATCATATGCATGAAGACAATAAATCCACAAACCTTCTCCGAACATTGTAGAATAAAATCTGCAGTGTGTTCTGATGCATGGACTTTAATTTCCATTTGTATGTTCTTAATTATTATGTGTAGCATGTGAGCATTACAGAGTGGTTCATAGAGCCTTGTACTTCCAAGGTGAGGAGTTATGCCAATCTTAGGGACCGTTTTGTCTAAAAAGCCTTAATGGAAACACAATAGAAAAAATTGAAGGTTGATTACTTATTAAAGAATTAAAAAAAAATTAAGCTTGAAATCAAGTGTAGATTTCGTGCTCTCTCTTATCATTCCATTGTGCATGATTCATAAAACAGTGGCGTAAAGGGTCTCTTTTAGTGATGCAAGTGCTTTCTGCAGTTACTTGGAGAACCAGGAACTGGAGGATCATCCACTCCATCAATGGTGGGTTCTGTGAAAAAGTGGCAGAAGTCTGACCCTCAGAAATCGCTGGAGACATGGAAAAAGTTGTCGGAGGCAAATTCAGCACTTGAAATGCAGCTCAATGCATTAAGCAAATTGGCAGAAGAACACTGGGAAGAATATAAAAGCTTGATAAACAGCTGCAGCATCCTCAAATCAGAGAAGGTATTTTTCTCGTCCTCTCTGAGAAACGAATTTTAGTATGATAAAATCAAAATTGAGACAAGTGCCCCATTTTGGATTTGTTGGACATGTCATGTTGTACCGTGTCGTGAAGTTTGTGTTTTTGGCTTCTTCGAATTGCTGTTAATACTTTCCCTACCCTATAACTTCCTGCTGCTTGTATTGCCCAACATTGATGTTTGTTACAATTTTACAAAATTGTACAGTGGACACAACAAGTCTCTAAACCAAGCCAAGAAATCATTGTTAAAGCATTATTAGGAGCAAGAGATGCTATGCTCGGGATCAGGTATCATATGCATCAGATGGGAGAGGCTGCAGGTGTTCCGGTATGTGCATTTCTTAACTGGATTCTTGTTTCTTTCCTATAAAAAATATATGGTTTGTAAAATGGAGGATAATAATTGATATATTATGTTAATTGTTTCCTTTCTCAAAACTACATGTTCTGAACATTCCATATTTAAATAACTTGTGATTTGAATGTATTTTGACCGGGTTAAAGTATCTTCCCGGAATTCAAATAAAAGAAAATACATGTACACGCGTGCTCACATGCACACACATTTAGTCTCTCACTACTCACTAGGGCATCCCTATTTTGGTCCCTATGGAAGTCCTAGTTGATTTACTTAATCTCCCTAAGTATATTTGAATGATAAATATGGCTTCTGTTATGTATCATGCTGAATGAACCCGTTGATGAAGTCCTTAGACTCAGCATTCTTAGACTTGAAGCAGAAATCCCTGCCATTTAGAAGCTGCTTGTTTTGCGTAACCGGCTCCTGGGAATCAAAGTCCATTCCGTGGAAAATATTTTATAGGAATCAGTACAGTTCAACAATACCCTTTCTAGTGTTTTGGAATGTTGGGAATCATTAATCTTATCAATGAGAGAGAATGCAAATGATTCGTATTTTTCTCCTAGCAGAATACGTATTAAGGCATTACTCTTCCGGTGGCCTTGAGGTATACCGCAAAAACTCCTTTAAAATACGTTGGTATTGATGTTTCAAATATGCTAAAGACTATAAACCAGAAACTAGAATCAGAACAGGAGCAACCTGATGTCAGTCGTTTAAACAATAAACACAGGCCAACATGATGTTGATCATAAATTTATTATTCAAATTATTTTTCGTCATTCTGAATAGAATAATTAAGATTCAAACTATTTTTGTCATACTCTCTCTTCGCCTTTCTTCCTTGTGTGATCGATTGTGATTGATTCCTTGTCTTCAAAACTCTTCAGATAGAACCAGAATCACAGACAAAGCTTTTGGATGCTACTATGGATATGGAAGGAGTGTTGTTGGCTGGAGTTCCTGGAGCAGGTGGGTTTGATGCGGTATTTGCTGTTACCCTAGGGGATGCTGGGAGCCATGTGTCGAATTCTTGGAGTTCATTCAATGTTTTGGCCTTGTTAGTTAGAGAAGATCCTCAAGGTGTTTCTTTGGAGAGTGCCGATCCACGAACCAAGGAAATGACTTCATCCATTTCCTCAGTTAATATTGGATAACCTGCGATTTGTAAGATGAATTGTATAAGAGCGTGGATATTAAACCAATTGGTCAAGGTTTTAGAGAAGAAAAATACATATGGGATAAACTTGCAGAGTGAAAATGTTACTTGCAACAAAATCAATAAGAGTCGTTTGTTTAAACTGTTCAAGAGATCCTATGTCATCTTTCTTATTCTTTAATTTGCTTGCTTCCATGTTTGATGAATTAGTTTCAAGGAATGTTTAGTTTGATGAATTGTTATGCATTACGGCATGTTTACTTACAAGAAATAGGAATTTAAATCATTTTGATTTTGATTTAATTTATCTTGGGCTTTTTTATATTTTTTTTTAACAACCAAAATCTACACTAAGAGGGAGGGGTTGAGTTTAGCCTCACAATAGATTAGTAATAATGCGGTTTAAATTCGTCTTTGGTTAGAATCGAACCGAAAACCTCTTACTTATAAGTGAAAATGAATACCACTTAGACCGTAATCCTAAGTGACAATTTATCTTGAACTTTTAAAAAACAAGAAACACGTAACATTTTTTATTAGGCAAAATTAGAAAGTGAGGATAAGGAGTACTCAATACTAAGAGGAATACTACTAGACTATAATATTAAGTGGTAGCATTTGATCTTTTAATTAAGTATTAAAACTCCCAAACTTGTCATAAGTTGTTGTATTGGTTTCCAAGAATTCAACTCACGCCTGCTGCTTCCCTCACAAAAATGTAAAAAGTCATTCACGGTTGATAACCGAAAAAGCCTAAACGAAGCAAAGCAAGAGATTAATAGTTGAGACAGTTGAGTGAATCGTTTGTCGTAAATGAGAAAGTAAGCATGGAGTTGTTGCCTTGTTGGATTAATGTTTAAATGGATACACCTGTAAAGTTGATATTTTACTTTTAGCGTCGTAATAAGTGTGGGAACATGAAATATTTTGATCAATGGGAACACGATACGTGTACAATTTATTAAATATGATTACTCTGTTCTTGATAGAATACACAGAATGTTAGTCAAACTCATAAGCTAACGGGATACATTCTCTACTAAGGCTCTAGAAGCCCGCAAACAACAAGCCCCTATGCCCAATTCATCGCAAACGGTCAGAATCAATCGCTATGCGACTTACGCAGATTACCGTAATATGTAATGGGCTTGCCTATCAGTCTCTTAGTATGCCAAGATCCTCCGAAGCATATTTCAAAAATCTCAGAGGAATATTCCTCCCTCGATTTGCAGACTAGGTAACATTCTGCTAACAAGTTCAACGAATTTGGATGTTTGGGTTAACTCCTCAGTTCTCTATAAATAGTCAAGGTCAGTCACTTTATTCTGATAATCAAGAACTCTCACAACACTCGTATTACTTCCTACAATCTTTTTGACTTAGGCATATCGGAGACCCCTTAGGCTAACACCACACCAGTGTTAGTCTAACTCTATTTGTCTCTTTTTTGTGTGTGTAGGTTTTCGTCAATCCAATCCGAGGTGGAAATTTGCTCTCAAAATAAGCATTTCGTTTTTTTATTTAAATTTTCAAATTTTGTTACTAAAAATAGAGAGAAGGTAGATGAAATGAAGAATGAACTAAGGAGAAATGCAAAATGAAAACAAACATTAGAAAAGGAAACCACGTTTAAAATTGTTTTTAGTTTTCAGTTTGAATTTTTCCACATTACCCACACAAACTAAAAAAATATTAGTCCAATACAACAAACACAAATGGGTCAAGTCTATTGAAGCACAAGGTAGATGAGCTTCTACTCGACTATGCTGGTGGTGACCGTTGAGCTCTTCAACTAACAAAAGACAAACAAGTATGAATACGTTTTACAAGTGCACCCAAACTACCCTCCTTTTACTTCCTGACACTCTTAACCCTACGTAGCGTTATTACCACACAAAGAAACCTGCATGCATCGGTCTCTTTGCGTATTATAGGGCAAGCTTATGCACCCAAACTTCAGTGCAGAATCCATGGCAAAGATCACTAAGAGACTCTGCACCCTGGTTCTACGGCTGATGGCCGTCGGTGCTACCCTTTTGGCTGCAATTGTCATGGTTACAAGCCATCAGAGAACCAGCATCTTTGGAATATCTTTTGAAGTCAAGTATAACCATACTCCAGCCTTCCAGTAAGTTTTTCGTCTTCGTTTTTTTACGCCTTTTCTACGTACACATGCTATATATGCCATATTCTGTAGAGATCGATAGTTTTTCTTGCTAGACAAAAAACATCATGATCAATAGTTTGGATTGATAGTCTGGCAAGATGTACAACCATAGGTAGTAGCATACTTTCTATACATTTTCTTCACGTATGTATGTATATATGTACCTGTACTTGTTGCTATAAACGTACTCTTTTATCTTTGTAGGTACTTTGTGATTGCAAATGCAATTGCAACTGTATACGGGTTTCTGGTTATTTTTCTTCCTTCTAAGAGTCAGCTATGGAGATTAGTCGTGGCTTTGGATGTGGTACTCATATGAATTTATAACTTAAATCTCTCTAGCTACATTTTTTTTTTCTTATTTGAAGGTTGCCCATGTTTCTGAGTTTTTTTTTTTTTTTTCGTAATTCCAACCAATTTAATTTAACAATAAAAGCTGCAATTAATTGTTTGGATTATGAACAGGTAATCACTATAGTACTGAGCTCAAGCATTTCAGCAGCTTTGGCTATTGGTACTCTGGGGAAGAATGGAGATTCATATGCGGGTTGGCTACCCATATGTGGGCAAGTCCCAAAATACTGTGACCAAGTAAAGGGGGCCCTAATCTCAAGCTTTGTTGGCCTCATCATATATGTCCTGCTGCTTCTGTATGCCATCCACACTGTCCTCGATCCTCTCCTCTTGCAAAAAACTTAACTTCTCAATGAGTAAAAATGGTCTTGCTGGATGAGATTACTTTGTTCTTTGGGTTATTTAATTACAGTATGCATCTTTAAGTTTGGGTGCAATAGGAACACCATACCTTATTTAAAATATTCAATATCATACACAAATCATGTTTTATTTGCAATGTCATATTTCCGTCAAATAATATGTTAAATTGGCTGTTGAGCAATAACGTAATAATTGCGGACCTTCCACATATTTGCTGACGTAACTTTAAATTTGTGTGGTTGTCCACCAATATGTAATTAGTTAGTACCCTTTCTTTGTAAATCACATGCTTATAAATAGACACTCTAATAACAAAATTGGTTATGAAATAAAATATTTTGAGAGTGAGAAAGAGAGAGGGGCGGTTAGAGAGAGAGAGAAGAGGCTCAGTTATTTGTGAGATGGTGTTTTCTTCTTGGCCTTGTACCTTTATTTATACTAATCATAGGTAGGGTTTTACTTGACCTCCAAATAATACAAGTCATAATAAAATAAAATCTCCTAAATCTTATTAGATTCTATACAATTACACTCATAAAGTAACTTTATTTGCACTCCTCAAGTGTGTACAACTTAAGAAGTAGTTGTATCAAGAGCAAATGTAAAAGCAATTGGAGAAGCTAACTCAAAATTATGTTTCCTACTTTTCGGCTAGGTCGTGCTGAGAGAAGGACTTTTTATCCTTCTTTATGGATTACATAGGCGTGCTACCACCAAATCACATATGGTCTTGATGGAATTTGTAAGTGATGTTGTGCTCCGTAAATCTAACTTCTAATCAAGCGATTGAATGACCAAGCAAGGAACCTATTCTAGCCTAAGTCCTTTCACTTCTTTAAGGTCAAGGATGGTTAGACTGGACTTGTATAGGTTGTGATTTTAGGTTCATAGATGCAAAGAAATGTAAAAGTGCGAGCAATTAAAGTGCGACCTAAAGAACGAAAGATCATTTTGTGTGTTGATAGTGCGAGCAATTAAAGGCAGTCGGCTGGTAATAAAAACCTATACTAAGAAATGTAAAGGATAGCAAAAATCTGAAGTTTTGTGTGTTGATCAAAAGATCATTTTCTTTTCCAATTCTGCCTATGTAAGTTTATCTTAGTACTGTCGGTCACAAGCTCGGATAAAAGAAGAAAGGAAGGATGTTACGTAGTCGATACTTAGCACTGCGTTTTCACATCAAATCCCTATAATATCGAATCCTAAACAAAATTGCACTAAAGTTATCTTGTTACCCACAAATGATGCGTTGTGTGGTCCGACCATAATGAAGTGAGCAAAGATCGATGGATCACTATCAGCTTCCGAATGCAGAGTAAGAGTACGGTAGAAACTTCATTTTCAACCACTCTGTCTTAAGCCCATACTGAAAAGTGGACTTTATATAAGCCCATATCTTACGCAACAGTTTGAGATTTGGATTTTCAAAATTTAGGGGACCATATTGAAAAGTAGACTTTACATAAGCCCATATCTGCAAAATCAAAAAGCATGGTCGGTGCAGCTCATCCTTATCTTACCGCAAACTCCAACACTATCTTCCTCGTGTTTCTTATTTTTAATTAAATAAAACTAAATATCAATAAAATTATATTATATTAAATTAAATTAGTGGAACTAAACCAAAACCAAACATACACCCAAGTCTCTGTTTCTTTTATTATTCTCTCAATCTCCCTATCTTCTTCTCCATCTCGAATTTTCTCTCTCTACAAAAACCCTAAGTTTCTCTCTCTACGCTTCCTGATCATTTCCCATATGGCGTCTGGATCATCGACTCGGGGCAACCCGGGCTCACAGGGATTCGATTTCGCGTCGGACGACATTCTCTGCTCCTACGAGGACTACGGCAACCAGGACTCCTCCAATGGCAACCACAGTGAACCTGTCATGGGGAATAATTCCGGGAAGGTACTTTTACTGCTCCCACCTTTGGATTCTTTCGCGACGCTTTGCTGATGAAGGTTGCTGGATCTAGGGATTAGCTGATGGAGCTGTAATTTCATGGGATTTTGAATTTTTGTTAATTTAGGGTTCGGATCATAGGCGTAATTGGGGACAATTTTGGATTTTGGTTTATCTATTTTGCATGTTTTTATTTTAACTTTTAGTTTTTTTTTTAACTTTACGAAATGGATGTGGGTTAGATTGGTAAGGCTGTGAATTAGAAGGAAAGGAGTTTAATTTATATTTTTAATTATTTGATTTCCCTAGAACGAAAATGATTTGGGAATTTGTTAAATGATACAAGTTTGAATTTGCACCTTATGGAGAATTCTGGTTCTGGTTTTGCACAGAGAAGACGATTATGCTCTTCAGCTTAGAAAATAAATTTTGCACGTTGGGAAACCATTTGTCATTAACAAACTTACTGTTCGACAACACGATAAATTCGAAGTTCAGAAACCTTTCAAGTTATTTTCTTTTGTTCCATCTTGATCTTTTGCACACCTTACATCTTTAGCCATTACTTTGAACCCTAATACGTGTTGGTTATCGAGTCTTAAAATGGGTTGGAACCTATTGAATTTGCTAACTAGTGGCTGTTGCATTCTATCTATAGCAGGATATTCACAGAAGTAGACTGGCAAGACAACCGATGTTCTCTTCTCCTGCCTTTAGCCAGCCGGAAGAATCTCTTCACCAAGATGTAACTGCTACTGTTGAAAAGAGCATGAAAAAATATGCTGACAATCTCATGAGATTTCTTGAAGGAATTAGTTCACGGCTTTCGCAGCTGGAATTGTATTGCTACAATGTTGACAAGTCAATTGGTGAGATGCGATCTGATTTAGGTCGTGATCATGAAGAAGCAGAGTCAAAGCTCAAGTCTCTTGAGAAACATCTTCAAGAAGTGAGTTGCAACACTAAATTAAGCATTTCAGATTGTGCATATGTTCAATTTGTTTGGATTGGAATGTGATTTTATTGATCTTTCTGTTTGCCAATATTTAAAGGTTTTCAACTTTTCATTAACCCACTTTTTTTATGGATACGATGCTTTGGTGTTCTGCTACAGTGGTTCTACCATACGTTTCATGGGCATCAAAAGGAGTTATAGTAAAGTATTTTGTTAGGTACACGAGGGTGATCCTGTGCCCCTGTTATTTGGGTGGAACCATCCTTTTCTTAGCTTTCTTAGGATTAAGAGTTTGGCAGTGTGAAATTTTGAATGTGAGATCTTCAAAGTCAATTTAGGAGGGCTAGTCATTTCTGTACCTAACGATTTTTGGATCTTTTACTTGCACACTGTTAAATTGTTGAGTAATTGCGCCCGGGCCGTTCTCATCTTCGTAAAATGTAGTTTATCTTTCCACCGAATGTTTGTTAGTTTGACTTTGTAGAGATGATTTTAGCAGTCATTGAACTTTGTCCGATGCCCACTTCAGGTCCATAGGTCTGTCCAGATCATAAGGGACAAGCAAGAACTTGCGGAGGCTCAGAAAGAACTAGCTAAGCTTCAGCTTGCACAGAAAGGATCTGCATCTTCAACCCATTCCCAATCCAATGAGGACAGAGCTTCACCACCTACCTCTGATGCTCAGAAAGCTGACCACCCATCTGAAACACATAACCAGCAATTGGCTTTAGCCCTGCCACATCAAGTGGCGCCACAGCAGCAGCCTGTGGCACCTCCCACACAGCCCCCTCCGCAGAATGTGACTCCACAACAATCCTATTATTTACCAACCCAGTTACAAAACCCACCACCTCAGGCACAACATCCGCAGAATCAATATTTGCCTCCTGATTCTCAGTATCGAAACCCCCAAGTGCAAGAAATGCCAAGGGTGACACCACGGCCAACACAATCACAAGTGAATCAGACACAAGTCCAGTCGTTCCCTCCGTATTCGCAACAATTACCGCAGAGTCAGGTGCAATTTCCACAACAGTCCTCTATGCAACCCCAGATGAGGCCACCATCAACAAATGTCTACCCTTATCCACCTAGTCAACAAACAAACCCATCTCCTCCAGAGTCTGTACCAAACAGCATGCCAATGCCAGTGCCATATTCCAACATTCCTCAACCAGGGCCAGGCCGTTCTGATCCCATGCCTTTTGGATATGGTGGAGCTGGTCGAACAATGCAGCAGCAGCCTCCGCCTCAGCAAATCAAGGGGGCTTTTGGTGCTCAACCAGGTGAGGGATATGGGGCTGCTGGTCCTCACACTGCACTTCCTCCAGGGAGTACTTATATGGTTTACGACAGTGAAGGGGGTAGAACTCAATATTCTGCTCATTATGGATATCCTCCTACAAGCATCTCTCATCATACACCACAGCCAACAACAGCTCCAAATCTTATGGCTCGGAATCAACAATTCCCACCTAACCACCCTTACAATGAGTTGATTGAGAAATTGGTACCCATGGGGTTCAGGAGCGATCACGTTGCGAGCGTGATTCAGAGGATGGAGGAAAGTGGCCAACCCATTGATTTTAATGCAGTGATTGACAGGTTGAATGCACATCCATCTGGGGTCCCTCAGAGAGGATGGTCAGGGTAAAAGAATTACGTACCTATCTATCTTGCATTTCCAATTGGGTGACAGTCATGCGTGTGTTTTATTATTACGCATTGAATAAAGGCTTATATGATGCGTATGGTGTCCTCATCCCTCATATATATGGATTGAGAGATGCTATGATTTTTGTATATTTGTAAACCTCATTCCTAGACGAATGGCGCTTTTATGCCGTACTTGGATGTCAAGCAATAGAAAACACTTGTCGTAGATCTCTCCCTCTCCGTTTCCCGTCGATACTTAAATGTTTCTCTTCTTTCAAATTCTCGTATTTGTCTAGCAAGTTATGTTGGTGTTGGAAGTGTGTGTTTGATTGGATTGCAATTGTAGCAATGAAGGCCCCGGTGCGGTGCATTTTGTTGATGTTTTCATGAGGCTCAACTTTTAGATTACGTTGTTATGATTTGTGACACTCGGTTCAAATCTAATGCACTGCTTTGTGGCCGGCAGCTTTCTGTTTCTGCGCTGAAATATGAGAGAGTATCTAATGGCTTTTTGACTTTTGATTGCTTGTGATCGAGTATGTTATGTCTTTATTGGCATGCTTGTTCTTTACTTTGTTGATTGCGAGCTTTGCTCCGACAATCGCTCCATGCAGTCTTCT